AGGCTAAACGACATTGATTCTGCAGATCATTTATTATAAACATAATGGCCGTGATATAAAGCACTTAAAGAGTTTTGCACCATAAATTCACCATATTGTGTTGAAAACAATTACTTCTCTGTGCCAAATGTTCACTGGTTTGGTTAAAGAGCTTAGAAGCCCCAAAAATTACACAGAAGTAGTTAAGGAAGACTAGTTATGGGTTTTAGCAAGTTAGTTAACTGATAATTTCTTTTTTGCTTACTAGATGAGGTGACTTGATGTTTAATTAAGCAATTTTGGCACTTTTATTAAAGCCTTATTAGCCTGAAATATATTGAACTGGTAGAGTTCACTAAATATGTTTATTAAATCTTAATGAAGAACATTCTTTGATTATGTTAGATGACGTCTGATACTGTTTATGTTGCATATAGCAATTGAAAACAATTTCTCAGTTCAGTTATGGAATAATCTAAAATAATTTCAGACTTTTTTGCCAATGTCTCATTTGCTTTATATATACATATGATAAGGATGTTAAAAAAAAGAAAGTTGCATTGAAGCGCCAGTTAAGCCAGTTCTGTGATATTGACACTTCTGTCCTGCCAGGAAGGTCACATTTGTATTTTAGTTCAGCTTTATGGCTTCCTGGGTTAGAGATGTGACACCAGAAGGTACAAAGCTAAACCAAGAAATTGCATTGTAGCCTGATTAGTTGGGTAGCACAAGCAAAGGGATATAAATTACAAAATCAACCAATTTGGCAGGTAAAACTATTTCCATATATATTTCAACTACCGTATTTTTCGCCATATAAGACGCTCCGGAATATAAGACGCACCCAATTTTAAAGGAGGAAAATCTAGAAAAAAAAGATTCTGAACCCAATACATATAGTAATTCATCCCCCCTATAGTAATTAATCCCCCCTATAGTAATTCATTCCCCCTATAGTAATTCATCCCCCCTATAGTAATTCATCCCCCCTATAGTAATTCATCCCCCTATTGTAATTCATTCCCCATATAGTAATTCATGCCCCATATTGTGTCAATTCACTTACCTTTGCTCCGCGCGTTCCTCTCGCCGTGTTCCCCGCGCCGTTCCGGTCTTCAGGGCTGATCCACGAGCAGAGGGGGTGATGACGTCAGCGCGCACCGCCGGGTGTACTAAGATGGCCGACCGCTCCAGAGATAGGCCAAAGCCGCGGCCTTTCCTACGGCCATGGCCGCGCCTCACGGTTTCTCTCTCTATTCGTCGAATAAGACGCACCAACTTTTCCCCCCCCGTTTTGGGGAAGAAAAAGTGCGTCTTATACGGCGAAAAATACGGTATGTATTAGACCATTTTTGAGGAGTTGCTCATGAACCAAAACCCGCTAAAGTACATTGCAATTTATCAGGCATGCATTGGTATAAACAGAAAGTATATACAATACAGATGCATACATTTCTACAAAACTTATGTTGTAAAAAAAAAAAAATTGCTTACTGGTTTTCTACTGATATTGGCATTGAACATGAATATCTGTCCACAAATTAATTATTGGTAAAAAGCATTCTGCAGAGCTGTCATACACAGTTCTGTTTTTTTTTTTTTTTTTTTGGGGGGGGGGGGGGGTTGTACATTATTCTTTTTAGGCTTCACTTTTATATTTTAAATAATAAAATAGGCATAGTAGTCCAAGCTCTGTTTTAAAAGCACTTATTTTTGCTTGTTTTTTTTTTTTTTTACATGAATATAGCATAAAGGAAAAACAAAAATGTACATAAAATTTCTAACCTTATTTTGTTTTAAAAGATCACCAATGTATTTTCTTTGATTGAATGGAAGGTGAGGTGAAGAATGTATAAATATCTTTAAGTCCTGAGCTGTGCATTCCTGATTTATTTGTCCTACAGCTCCCTTTGTCTGGGTATGTGAGACCTTGGCAGAGATGTAAAGGACTGGAGGATGACAGGGGTAGAATTGAGAACCTCGGCCTTTCAAATAGGAGCCAGGTTTATAAACTATTCATTTAATTTCACCAGGTTGTCTGAGTTGAATACTTTCTTCTTACTTCCAAAGGGCTATTGTTAGATGATCATTGGCCTTAACAGTTTTCAATCTTTTATAGCACAGCAGATTTGCAGTAAGGGACCAGGCCTCAAACAGCCCCTAGCTCTTATGTGAATGTGGATGGTAATGACATATGGGCTGTAATTGGATTCGAATTGAATACTTTCAAGAAGGGTCTGTTTTAAACGCTTTACGCAGAAATACTGCCACAGGGCGGCAGGGGTGCGTGATTTTGCATTTGGGTAGGGGGTGCGAGAGAGCAATTTGTAAATGCTAAAACTTTCATAAACCAATTAATTTACACGTATTGAGATTTTTTTTTTTTTTTTTTAGCAAATACATTTCTTCCTAAATTTATGACGAAATTTGATTTTTTTTTTTTTTTATTAGACATGTTTAATAGCAAAAAGTAAAAAAAATATATATTTTTTTTTTCAAAATTGTCAGTCTTTTTTATGTTTGATCACCTGTGCATTTATTTTTTTGTGCTATAAATACCACAGAAAGAAAGCTCTATTTGTGGGGAAAAAAGGTTGTAAATTTAATTTGGGTGCAGCGTTGCATAACCGCGCAATTGTCAGTTACAGTAACGCAAAAAATGGACTGGTCAGGAAAGGGGAAAAATCCTCTGGAGGGCAAGTGTTTAAAATAAAGTGTTGTAATAATGTTATAAACCAAAAACATACATGTTTTTGTTTACAAAAAAGTATTTTTTTAATATTTTCTATTGTGAGATTAGGTTTGTTTTGAAGTTGTATATGTTTGTGTTTGCCCTGTTGATCATACCATGTATAATAAACCTACTTCTTTGAAAACGTTATGTAAGTTTATTTTATTGACTAAAAATACGGTGACTTATCCTGAGCAAATACCGTATTTTCCGGCGTATAAGACGACTGGGCGTAAAGAACCCCCCTACTTTTCCTGTTAAAATATAGGCTTTGGGCTATACTCGCCGTATAAGACTACCCCCCTCTACCAACCAATCACGGCAAGCGATGTACCAGTATTTTCTGTGCACACTGCATACAAAGCCTGCTTGGATTGGGTGGGTCAGCTCTCCCTGCCTGCCCAGCCCTCCCTGTCTCCAAGATGATCTGAGAACTGCCACAGTTATTAATATATAATAATTAATGTTAATTACCGTATTTCCTGCAAGGTACTGCCTAGCTGACGCTTCTGCACGTCTTCGGCAGCAGTAGACGATCGCTGATCACCATTCCTCACAGAACTGCATGAGACGTCGGATGCAGCCGTTCAGTGCTCGATTGAGCTTGACTGAAACTGTGATATGCAGAGAAGGCAAGAAGACGCTTCTGCACATGTCACAGTTTCAGTCAAGCTCAATCGAGCACTGAACGGCTGCATCCGACGTCTCATGCAGTTCTGCGAGGAATGGTGATCAGCGATCGTCTACTGCTGCCGAAGACATGCGCAGAAGCGTCAGCTCGGAAGTACAGGTAAGGTTTCAGCACAACACCCGGCGTATAAGACGACCCCCGACTTTGTAGAAGATTTCCAGGGGTTAAAAAGTCGTCTTATACGCCGGAAAATACGGTAAATGTATATTCTGTGGAATGCTGTGCCTTTATCAGTGAAGATATTGCTATGGAGTTTTTTTAACCAGTAAAAACACAAACTCCTCTCTTTGGCCTTGTTCACATAGGCTTTGTCTTGTATACAATCAGTGTGTACAGCAAGCATTTTGCAAAGATTTCAGCAAGCTTCAAGCAGGTTTGTTAAATCCTATATAACAGTCCGCAGCATCTGTACGGGGATATTTAACACAAATCATAATGGGATTGATACAAGTTTGCTAGCAGGTTTCAGAACAACTTGAAGCTTATTTAACCTCCCCGGCGGTATGATTTTTGGTGCTGAAAGCAGGTACCATTTTTTTGCATGGAAATATGTAGTTTTTTTTATTGTAGGCTGTAGTTCTTAGGAATAACTCACTGAAATCTGTCCGAACAAGAGTCTAGTAAACATCCCGGGTAGGATAAAATTTGAAACGCGAAATCATAAATTATAATTTAATAAATAATCATAAAAAATAATAATATAATAATAATACATTTAATTCAATAATATAATCAAACCAAAAACACTGAAATGTGAAATATAGCGCCAAGTTCGCACATTGCTGAGCAAAGTCGCAGAACCGTTTTCAGTGTCTGATGACGAATTTCCCCACAAATCATTATCACTCAATTCTGCAAGTGGTTCTGATTTACTATCGCTGTTCTCTAGCCGATCTAAACCCGCTTTTGACCTAAAGGGACGCTTTTTGGACGCCATGGACTTTTCTCAGTTTCCAGGAAGAAAGAACAGACAAAATGCAGGCAGGGCGCCGGACAAAGCACTCGGGACAAAATGTATGTGAAATGGTTTGAAACAGCAATGTTTTACTATGTAAAATGTAAAAAAAAAAGACATTTTTTAAAATTTTTAAATTTCCCGCCGCCAGTGGTGCCCGTACGTCCCGACGTCACAGGGACAGGACACAGAAGCCAGATGCCGGCATCGGCCGGAGGAGATGGCCGGGGACGCTGCAGGGGACACATCGTGGGAGCGCAGGTAAGGTAAGTGAAGAACAAATCCCGGAGCAGTGCCACATGGTATTCCCGAGTGTAGCTCGGGGTTACCGCTCTTGGTACTGAAATGTTACCCCGAGTACACTCGGGAATACCGCCAAGGAGGTTAAACCCTGCTAGCTGCTGCCGTCAGGCACCGCCCGGCAGTACCTCTAGCGACCCACAGAACAGGATTCCCCAGGGCGTGGGGTCTAAGCCTCAATCTGCTTATTCACCAGAGCCCCTGATGGTGGGGATGGACTTGGAGTAGACTGAGACCAGGTCACGGCACCTGAGTACAGCCAACTGTGGTAGAGGGAACTGCCAGAGGTATGTAATGGGAGAGAGCCTGATGTGAAGAGGTTGGCAGGCCTGGGCAGTAGTGACTGGATCCGTGCAGGATGGATGGACGGATGACAGTGCAAGTATAGCGTAATCAGACAGGCCAGGTCGGTAACAGCGGAGGCAGAACGGTACAGAGCACCAGACAGAGAGTAGTCGGGTCACAAGCCAAGTTCAGCAACAGGAGGTCAAGTAATCAGGTAGGCAGAAGAGTAGTCAAACGAGCCAGAGGTCAGAGCAAGAGACGGTCAACAGGGATCAGGATCAAGCAGGTCGGTAACAAGGTACATCTCTCAGGAACAGATGAGCAGGGAACAAGGAACAAAGACCATACGGCAACTCGAGTATGCACAGGGCTGGTTTAAATAGCGCGCCCTGCGCTGTCATTGGTGCCAGTGCGTGTATCTGCAATTGCGAGTGCGCATGCACGGCCACCGCTTTTGCCGCGGATGCCTATGTCCTTGTGCCTGCCGGCTAATGCGCATCGGCGTTCTGCGCATGCGCCGACCCGTGCGCTGCCACGAGCCCTGGGATTCCTGACAGCTGCTGAATGCAGAATGGATACTTTGCAGTGGCAAGAAAGATCTGCTTGAACACCCAGCTGCTGCGCAAATGCATCCATGGCAGCATGAGGTTGTGTGCTCAGTACTCCCAGCAACACCAACTTTGCTGTCACCAATAGCTCTCGGTCAAGGCGTCTGATTGTGAGCCAGCAGGATGGTCTTCTGATAACGTGACCGCTGTGAGAGCCAGTAAAAGCGGCCACACAATACAGAAGCCATACAGCCCTTTAAAGGGCCACAGATAAGCAGCATTGAGGGGTTAAAGCAAGTCAGAACTTCCATTAAGATTATTTAGTATCCCTACTTCCATAAATTATTTATTTCCTCCGTTCATTCTTCTCCCCACTGCAAATAGGCCATGCAGGCCAAGCACAGATACTAAATTTCCCAGCTTCCATTGGTTTACACCAGAAGGGACTGATGAGAGAGATCGAGTCCTGACATCCGTTGTGTGCAGTGTCACAACTTTTCTGCCATTCAGCTTAGAGGAAGCACCATCTGCTGCTGCTGCTACCTGCCTGTGGTGAATGAGGTTCAGGAGGACAGTTTTCAGTATGAAACCAAAATCAAGAACATGGGGACCTCAAAGTTACTGGAGGAAAGTTCAAAACTAATCTTAGAAAGTATTATTTTATTGAAAGGGTAGTTGATGCTTGGAATAAACTTCATGCAGAGGTAGTGAGCCAGTCAGCAGTAAATTAATATTAATGACTTCAAACATACTTGAGACCAGGGGCGGACTGACCATTTGGAAACTCGGGGCACGCCCGAGGGCCCGAGGTCAGTAGGGGGCCCTATGAGATGGCCCTGGTACCTTTTTTTTCATAGGCTTTTTTGAGTTTGGGCAAGGACACGGGGGCCCCATGATCCCCTATTGCCCGGGGGCCCCATGAGTTGTCAGTCCGCCCCTGCTTGAGACAAACCTAGATCTGTACTCAGGCAAAAAAGTTGACAGAAAAAAGCCCAAAACAACAAATACATAACATTTAAAAAAAAAATGGGCAGACTCAATGGACCACAGTCTTCTTTCTGCTATCACTTTTCTATGTTTCTATGACTGCAAGTGAAATATGTAACGCTCAGCCATTTGTACTGTCCTACAGTGACTGGGTCATCTTCTGCTGCCTGACCCTGCTCCTGCTATTCAGCAGTTTGTGAGTATCTGAGGCCTAAACTCATACCCTGTGCAAAGTTGCCTGTGCAAAGTGTGCCTCGTACAATTTACAGTGCAACATACCAGGTGGCTCCATCATACTAATTGTACTGATGCTCTCTGTAGTGTACCCCCCTGAGGAGCCTGACCCTGACCGTCTTAAATATGTCCTCTGCTAGAGTCTATGCCATCCTTGGATTCTTCTACAGCTCCACCTAGCCTGGCCACTGCCTCGGTCCTGTCCTGGGAAAATTTTACTGCAGTCATGCAAGATATTATGGGACAAGTAGAACATTTATTTGTGGATTCTGACCACTGAGGTCATAAATGTGCTTCCATTCCTTGGCCATAAATGTGCTTCCATTCCTTCCTCTGCAAAATATCTAGCTGATCTGCCGGCAGCCTTTGAGCCCTCAGGCACAGAGACTTTGTCTGATGCAAAGTCTCTTAAGTCCTTTCCACCATTATTGGCATGGTACATACCACTTTAAAACTCAAAGATTAGCCTGCAGGCTGTACTAGTGCTGACCCCAGTCTACTCTCTTCAGGGATCCCAAGGCGGCTGTAAGATCTTTCCAGTGCAGCTGTTGTAGTCAGATGGTTCAAGACTTGGACATCTGTCCTTAACAGCAGGTAACTGATTGGTGTGAAGATTTTACTGATGTTTACCCAGCTTTAGAATGTTTGCTGCCTGGATGAAGGAGCCAAGAGACACCTTTGGACAGCAGTATTGTCAGTCTGGGGGAAGGGGAGTGTTTAGATGCACTAGCAGATATAGATACACTAAAAAAATTGAAGCCAAACTCCAGCTAACATTTTATAAACAGGTACAGTTTTTATAAATTTTCTTTTGGGATAAAGGTTGTACACAAATTAATTACTTGCCCGCCGTCCCATAATAATTTACTGCTACAGGGTGACTGTGTTGAGCAAAATCACATAAATATACGTGATTTTGCCCTTTGGGGTAGGGGGCGCGCAGAATGTCAATCACCAAGTCCCAGAAGGTGATTTATGGCCAGGGCTCGGTGATCGTCAGTGAAGCCGAGAGGGAAGAGACCTGTGTGTTTAGCAACACAGGCCTCTCTCCTGTCAGCATGGATGTGCTGCTTTCTATCTCTCTGCATAGCCGAGAGATAGAAAGGAGCATGTCTGCTTAGTAGAACAACACACAGTAACCAATAAAAAAAACTCCCTAACACACAACCCTTTGATCACCCCAAATGTTAACTCTTTCCTGCCCAGTGTCATTAGAACAGTGTTAGTGCTTTTTATTAGCACTGACCACTATATTGGTGTCACTGGAGATGTCGGTGGCAGTTAGTTCCCACCCAGTGTCAAAATGTCCAGCACAGTCCTGCAATAAGTCACTGATCACCACCATTACTAGTATAAAAAGATAAAAAAATATATACCGCCATTTGTAGACTGTAAAAGTACTGTATATTGGAATTTACACTGCTTTCACTTTCTGACTGCCTATCACATTTCTTGAGGTGCTAAACTGCCAGGGCAGTACAAAAACACCTCAAATTACCCTTTTTTTGGAAAGTAGACACCCCAAGGAATTTGCCGAGACATGTTGGGGTTTATTTACTAAAGCTGGAGAGTCCAAAATCAGACTCCCTTCTGCATAGAAACCAATCGGCTTCTAACCTCAGCTTGTTCAATGAAGCTTTGGCAATGAAACCTGGAAGCTGATTGGTTTCTATGCAGAAGTGAGTCTGATTTTGGACTCTCCAGCTTTAGTAAATAAACCCCGTTGAGTCCATTGAAGATTTTATTTATTGCCACAAATGTTTGGAAAATGACCAAACTTTTTTTTTTTTTTTCCTTTTTACACAAAGCCATCACTTAAATGATATATTACTCATACAAGCCATGGGTATATGTGGAATAACACCCAAAACACATTCTGCTACTTCTGAGTATGGGGATACCACGTGTGAGACTTTGTGGCAGCCAAGCCACATACAGGCCCCCAAAATCCAATGACCACCTTCAGGCTTTCAAAGGACATATTTTCTCATGTCACTTCCTCATTACCTACAACCGTTTTGGAGGCCCTAAAATGCCAGGAGAGTACAAACACTCCCCCAAATTACCCCTTTTTGGAAAGTAGACACCCCATAGAATTTGAAAAGAAGGAATTGTGAGTATTTTTCAGGTATCATTTTTTATCACAGGGTTTTGAAAAAGACATACATTTTTGTTTTCTTTCTTCATTTTTCAAAAACTTGTGGCAACAAATGAGATCTGCAAAATACTCACCATGCCCCTTAGCAAATACCTTGGAGTATCTACTTTCCAAAAAGGGGTCATTTGGAGGAGGCGGGGGGGGGGGGGTGATCCTGCTATCCAGTGCCAACATAAGAAACTTGTGCTACACATCACCCACTCTTCTAACCACTTGAAGACCAAGTCTTTTCTGTCACTTTTTGTTTACATGAAAAAAAAAAAAAAAACTTTTTTTGCTAGAAAATTATTTTTCTACATTTCTAACATTTTTCTAACTCCCAAACATTTATATATATTTTTCAAAGCAGAGGCTGTAGAGAATAAAACAGTGGGTGTTTACATTTTTTTGTCACGCAGTATTTAAGTAGCAATTTTTCAAACGCAAATCCTTTGGGAAAAATACACTTTTTTTTAATTTTAATGCACAAAAACACAATATATTGGCCAATTGTTTGATAAAGTATAAAAGATGATGTTAGGCCGAGTATATAAATACTAAACATGACATGCTTTAAAATTGCACACACTCATGCAACGGTGACAAACTACGTACATTTTTTAATATGCATAGGTAACATTTTAAAAGCCTTTACAGGTTACCACTTTAGATGTACACAGGAGTTCTAGTGCTGGAATTACTACTCTCGATCTGATGTTCACAATGATACCTCACATGCATGGTGCAATCTCTGTTTACATACTGACCTGGAGCCAATGCTTGAGTTCACCTTTGCATGTGAACACAGAGGGGGAGGGGAAGTGATTTTTTTGTTTATTTATTTTGCTTTTTATTATTTTTACAGTATCCCTTTATTTTATTTTTTTTTATCACATCTTTTATTGTTATCACAGGGAATATAAATATCAACAATAGCCAATGAGAGGTATTCTTTTCTGAGAAATCTGGGGTTTATTAAACTTTAGATCTCTCCTCTGCCCTTAAAGCATCTGATCACATCAAGATCTGTGTGATCGGATGCTTTCCCAATTTAAAAATGGCCCTGTTTATATCTGGCAAAACCGAAATGATTAAATGCTCGTTGCTTCCGGTTTCTTAGACCATAGAGATGATTAGAGTGATTCTGGGCCCCAATCAGCTCTATGGTCAGCCAGCGGAACCGCCATATGCATCCTTGGGCTCCCGGATGGAACGTTAGAGCCCAAGAAAGCTGTGGAAGGCGGCGGGAGGGGGATGTCCCCTCTCACTGCATGTAAAAGTGATCCAGCAACTAATTAGCTGCTAGGATTGCTCT